ATCGAGGGACTCGCCGCGAGTCACCGAAGTTCCCGATAAAACGTTCGATACACCGGTTCCTCGTCGAATCTCTCGAGGCCCAGATTACGGCGCGCGTCCCGTTGCACAACGGCGGCCAGATAACTTTTACTTTTTCCAAATAATACGATTCCCGGCTCCGCGGCGAAAGTGAAAAATATTTTTAGACGAGACCTGAGGTTCTCCGCGGCGTATCGCTCGCGTTTCGGGCGCATTGTACTCGAACCTTGGTCCCTGCCGGCCGGAATTTATTATTATTGCATCATTCGGCCGGGAAACAAACAACCGTCCGATAGGAAGAGTTATTCGGTTGTTCGTCCGGCTAAAAGAAAGCGAGGTCGGGAATCGTTGCATCGTTGCGCGAGCGATCCGGCCGTTTATTGTTGTTAACGGGGCAAAGTGAATCCTCGAAAGAGTTTGTTGTCTGCGCCAGCTTTTTTATCTCGCCGCGGCCGAGCGTGTTTTTCTCGGGCCGATTTATGGCACGCATAAAACACGTTGTTTTTACGAGCGGCTAATGAAAGTGGCTGCAAATCAATGCTTGTCACTCGCCGATATTCATCGGTGTACACCGCGTGTCAGAGGAATTATATAAGCCAATTGTTTACACTAATACGCGAGGAAAAAAACCCTCAACCGGACGATCGGAGTAAGATGGCGGCGTTTTGTGAGGTTATGGCGACGCCAGCGCCATTTTGGTCCCCGCGTTCGTATTTACGCGATAAACTGAAAGTTACTCTGGTTACACGCGATATTCGGTGATGTAATTAATGTTGATGATGATAAATGGTCGACATCATCGAGAAATGGTTGTAAAAGTTAAAACTATCGATTTTTCATTATAGAAAAATTCCGAAGATGGCGTCGATGGGAAAAATGTATCTTTGAATGACATTCTTCTTTTCGTTTTCAAGTATTAAGCGTGTTAATTAGCGAACGATCGTAAACGTCGAGCTGCGACGTCGATCACGTGATCTAGTGTCCTCGGTTATCATCGCCGAATTTCGCTGCCGAGAGAAAGAGGCTTCAATGGACGGTGGTTTCCGTTTTATCACCAAGGTCGAGCATTATTCCATCAGTTTATTTTCAGGCATGCCTGAGGCGGCTCTCGTTGATGTTTTTTTTCTCTGGTTTCTGTCTCTGAGCTTTAGGACCGGCCAGCTTCCAAGCACTTTACTCGGCTCGATGAAGCCGAGGCGCTTCGAGGCTCGGGCAGTTGTGGATTCCTCGAACCTGCAACCTTCTTTCTCGATTCTCCTTGGCTAGATCATTTGTCACTGAATCTAGCGAAACTTTCATTCGAATAATCGCAGGATTACAAACATATCGCTTCCTTCTTAATCAAAATTAGCCATTCTTCATCTCTCCTGTACGTACACGATCCTTCGAACATTCGAACCGAAGTTCTCACGGTAAACCATCGAGTAATTCAATTGACTCACTCATAATCCCTTATAAAACTAAAAACCGCATTGCTCAAGATCCAAAGTAGCTATTATACTTCTACGCGCAAATACAATTATTTACAAGAACGTCACAGTTTCACTATCATCGAAACAAATGTTTCCCAGACGATTCCGTTAATCACTCCACTTACAATATTCCTGAAGCTTCTTATCCTAGCATCCATGTCAGTACGATAATTTATTTGACAATTTCTCACGAAAGCACCTTTATCATTCAAACAATCGAAACTCTTAAAATGACTCGTCGACGAGCGAAACTGCTCATTAACCTCGGAGAAACCTTATAATAAACATCCTTCTTCAGTCTTTTACTCGATCATTCTCCTCGCAAAGGATTAAACGTATTCGCAAAGGAAATCCGAGGGCAAAGGGTTCATCAATGTAAAAGCTGCCGGAAAACCGTGGAAGAATCGGCGCGCGATTTAATCCGCCGAGCAAAATTGCTCATTAACCTCAGAGAAACCTTATAATAAACATCCTTCTTCAACCCTTTACTCGATCATTCTCCTAGCAAAGGGCTAAACACATTCGCAAAGGAAATCCGAGGGCAAAGGTTTGATCAATGCAAAAGCAGCCGGAAAACCGTGGAAAAATCGGCGCGCGAGATGAAAAACGCGGACGCGAAGAGGTCAGTCGGCCGCGTGTCGCAAAAAAGAAGCCGCGGTGGGACGATTCTTTTTCTGACCCGACAATGTGCGTCCAGGATAATATCATGCGCGACGTACGGATATCGTCGCCGTGGAAAAAACTCGCGTGCACGGGCCTTGGAATAATTTATAAGGAGCAATTCATCGTGCTTTATTGCTGTACTATTTTCCTTTCCTGTTCAATATTCATCCATTTTCCTATCTCGCGCCGCGTTACGAAACGCTTTTACACGTACGCCGCGCGCACCCTCCCCGCCGCGCCCCTTTCTTTTTTTACCGAGCCGCTCGCACCTGACCCTCCGTTCGTGCGACACCCCCTTTTACGTGAGTTTCCTCGTTTGCGCGGTGAACATCTATTTTTAAGTCGTGAAACGTCCGATTTTTCGGATTAGCTTGAAGTTCAGAAATTTTTAATCAATATTTTTAATCGACGTAGCGAGATTCAATGGATTTTGTACATTTTCTGACGAGTTTCTAGTTTTTGAACTCCATTTTTATACAAATTTAGTGTTAACAGAATCTGTAATGTCAATAACGATTGCTTAATTGCTGAAGATTCTTTATTCGAGGTGATTTCAGTGTTTAATCCTTTGAACTCTGTAAGCCCCAATATTGCACCAGTTATAATATTAAATATTTTAATGAATCTTGAAACTACCCTAAAATTATTCGATTTTTCACACATCCAAATTTTGTGCTAACAAGGAAAATAAAAGATTGGAGAAATGTTATAGCATTTCTAATTTTCACTAGGAATACTATAAAAATTAGTTGCAGTTGCTGATAGATTACAAAACAACCTGGAGAGCTAAGGGTTAAAAGAATGAAAACTTCTCATCCAATTTAAAGTACTAATCAACTAAAATCAGAGGTTTCATATGTTACGAGCTAAGAATAGATTTCAACCCCTTGTCTTGAGAACTTGTCTCGCAGTGGAGATTTTCAATATGATTTAACAAACATCAATTAATATCATTCTTCTGCAGTCAGTTATTAAATTAACTCGTTATTCGATTGTTAAAACGACTCGCTCAACGAAATTGCCGGTTGTTCATTGGTATTCACATTTCTATCACACTTTTCCCTTCTATCGGACTATCGGTCGACCAGAATTGGAACGAAATTGAATATTCCCTTTTTTACAATGGAGTTCAAGATAGAAATTAAAGATTTAAGTTTATCGTGGCCGCTTAACGTGCTCGAGGTCTCGTCGCAATGGTTTATCAGGAATATTCAAGTATTCTCTCAAGGACCTTCGCGAGTACTTTGCATATTTAATCTCGTGGCGACCTGAGTCGATATTTTCACTGTTAGAAAACCGTGATTTATCAGTTGGAACCTTCTTCGACTTCGAAAGAATTCGAAATTCATTTTGAAATTGATCTGCCAGTTAGTGGGAGCATCGATTACCTCTTTGAAGTTAAGCGGGTTAAAAACTGTCTCACCCTTTGCTTAGTTTCTCATGCATGACGAGGTATGAAGTCTCTAGATGCAATCTTGGAGTACCAACAGAGAAATTTCAAAACCTCAATTGAACTGCTCGATAGTTTATGTTAAAAAGAGTTTATCTCAAAGAGCCGAAGATCGAAAATTGAGTCTGAGCTAATAGAATAATCGGTAATCCATTTGAAGTCGGTTCTAAGGGATGTTGGAGCGAGAATTAAATTCAAGGCTCCGTTTTTACCGTGCGCCAGCTCGGTCGTTTTATATATGCTATGCAGTGGACAGTATAATGAGTGCATTAATATGGAATAAATTATAAACGAAGCCCCTGGATAGATGAATGCATCGATGCGAAGTCGAGGCAGGCTTTTATCGCTTCTCGAAATGAAATATTGTTGATCGAAGTGACATAACTCGGACGTAATAATTATTACGGGCTTGAACTACGCTTTCAAAGGTTGACTGTGCTCGAACCGATCGTGGATAAAATTTCAGGGAAATCGTCTCGACGGCGAACGCCGAAAAACGCGTTGGAAAGACGGACAACCGAAATCTTCGTTTCTAGGACGCGGTGCGTCGCCTTATCGGACCTAGACGAATAAATAACGATGCTTCGGCGATAACGTCACTTGCTTTTCTGACAGGCATTCTTCGCGAGGCTCTCCGACTCATCGTGACGCGTTTTTCAACGGATACGATGCAGTCGGACGTGTTCGGAGCTTGATAAGGCCTTTGTTCGATTTTGAGCTTAACTGGAACTACCGAGTAGCTCGGTTTTGTAATTTCTCGGTGGAAACTCCAATTTAGAGTTCAGTTTTCGCGTTGGGAAATATAATGTCGTTATTTATTTCTCTGGGAAGCAGCTTTTCCATGATTCCGAAGGAATTATGCGCCATTTTTAGCTGTTTCAGTTCTAGTGTTAAAGAAAGCCTTAAGTATTTCGAATTTGTATTATTAAACATAGTGAGTGATCTTATGAAACTCGATAGAATCATTTAGAATCTTCCAAGGTATAATTAAATATAACAATAAATAAATTAATTATTTCCTGTTTCTCTATTATTTAAGCATTCGATGCGTAATTCGGCAGGATCTGCCTTAACACTAGAACTACCGAGCATTTAATACGATTAATTGCAATTCCTATAAAAATTGTAACAACAGATTATTCTCAGTTTCTTCAGACACTCATTATAGTACTGAAATGAAACTATTTATTTTCAAAATCATTTCGAATATTCAATGCTTCGAAGATATCAATAATTGCTAAACAAAAATATCGAAACCAGTCATTTTGACTGGTACGGTAGTTCTAGTGTTAAGTTTCGTATATTTTAAATAATGTTCGTCCGCAGAGGGTTAATCGAATGTACCGTGAGATATATTTTAATAGATGAACCAACGAAACTCGGTTTCCCGTTTGCAGATGCCGATCTGAGCATGGGTGCAGGCGCAGCTGGGGGCTCGGTCCTCGGCCTGCCTGGATCCGGCGTGGGTGGTGTGTTGTCACAGCACTGCGCGATCTGCGGGGACCGAGCGACCGGGAAACACTATGGCGCCGCTTCCTGCGACGGTTGCAAGGGATTCTTCCGGCGGTCGGTCAGGAAAAATCATCTGTACGCCTGCAGGTTGGCCTGAATCCTCTTCTCTCCTTCAATCTTTTGCGTTTCCAGCTATTTATTTATTTATTTATTTAGTATACGAGCTTCAACCCTTTGGTACACAAAAAAACAATAAACTACAAAGAGACAGATAGATTATACAGAAAAGTCGTAGAAATAGTAGAAACCGCATGGTATTGTTTCTAAAAGTAATAAGGGAGGAAGAAAAATTGAGAGTAAAATCTATTGACATTAATAAAAATTCTGTTTAGACAATTGAACTAGCCGTAGTAAACCTTCCTATGAGCTTCAGTACGTAATATTCAATGGTGTCTCAGAGATAATCGAGATATATTTGAATAAAATTTGGATAAAGCTATGTCCTCATTGAAGCTACAGAGTGTTCCTAATCGCCGTTTGTTGTTGCATGTCGCAACAATTGTCCACGCAGGAGCAACATATACCGAGGACCGCCTGAGTTTCAATTTCGAAGCCGAAGAAGGCTAAAGAAAGACAGAAACTTTAAGGACAGTTAGCAGTAGATTGCTCTTTGCAGCTTGATTGAGGACATAGCATCGATATCGTCGTTTTAGGGTATCGTTGAAACTTTCCCCATTCCGCAGGTTCAATAGGAACTGCGTGGTAGACAAGGACAAGAGGAACCAGTGCAGATACTGCAGATTGCGGAAATGCTTCAAAGCTGGCATGAAGAAAGAAGGTGAGCAACGAGGACTTTGAAGGCCGTTCCTCTTCGTTTGTCTTTAACCCTTTGCACTCGAGGGGCGAAACCTTTTGTATTTACCATTTAACTTTCTATACTGCACGTGAAATATTGAAAGATAGCTTTGTCCCCTAATTTATGTGATTTCTTGACAAATTCATTTTAAAGGATCTCATCTAATTGGAAAGTATTGAGTATTTCAACTGAAAAACTTTGGAGTGCAAAGGGTTAACCCTTTTTATAGTATCCCTAGTGAAAATGAAGAATGCTATAACATTTCTTAGGTCCTTTATTTTCCTTCTTAGTGCAAAATTTGGATGTGTGGAAAGTCTAATAATTGTAGTGCACCCTTTGCCATACGATGTTCTCTTCAACTAAGCTCTAACTTTGTTATCAATAATTCATAAGAAACGTTGAGAAATATTTCATTTATCGCACTTTTCTGTGAACTTCGAAGGCGAAACATTGAAGACAGCAGGCCTTTCGATCCGTATGCAATGAAGAACACTGATTCTTAAATTAATTTGCAAATCTCCGCGGATCTTATTGCTCGTTGTAGACAAGGGGTTAAGGATTGTTTGATCTTTCTAACTAGTTCTGTTCGAACACAGCCGTGCAGAACGAGCGGGACCGAATCAGCTGCAGGAGGCCTAGCTACGAGGAGCAGAGCAGCAACGGAAGCGGACTGTCCGTGGTGTCGCTTCTCCAAGCGGAAATGCTCAGCAGACAAGTCGGCGCTGCTCTTGAGGTCAGTCGACGCCGATTACAACGAATCCGCGCCGCTAGTTTCCACCTCGAGCCGAGCACCGAACGCCGGGAACCTTCAGCGTACTTCGTCGATCACGGAAATCGGGCCCCCGACAAAATGGCGCGGCCCGTATAATCGCCTGAATCGCCGCTTTAATGAGAGCCGCTCGGCGCGACTCGTGATTTACTTACCGGGTTCAATCGAAACGGATTTAATGCGACGCTGTTAATGATTATGCGGGGAAGGAGAGTTAATGAGCCGGCGCGTATGAATGTTAGCGCTATTCGAATGTAATATTAATGCGGCGGACGGAAAGACATCCGGCCGTTTTCTTGATCGCGAGTTTCGGGCCCCGAGCATAAACACAATTGAACATGCTTTCGTGGGACAGTGGTTCTCAATTGTATCGGTTTTATAATAAAGTAAACACCTTCGTTTATTAAACAATTCTCGAGTATCCGCGATATAGATGTTTAATCTATCGGAAACTACCCGTCAAACCATTCTTTTATCGAAGCGAATGTGTTTTTAACGAGAAACTTCGGTATGAAACTGTTCAGAAACCGTCGGTTTTCTCGAGCCACCCCGTAGATCTCGAATTCAGCGGCTGCGGCAGTTCGCGGAGGGTAACTAGAGCGTTCTGCCAACAGCTAGGCAGCCCGAGCAACGACATCGATCTCAGCACGAAGCAGATCGCGAACATAAACGACGTCTGCGACAGCATGAAGCAGCAGCTGTTGATCCTGGTCGAGTGGGCCAAGTATATACCAGCGTTCAGCGAGCTGACCCTCGACGACCAGGTCGCCTTGCTCAGGGCACACGCCGGCGAACATCTTCTGCTCGGCGTGGCCAGGCGTAGCATGCAGCTCAAGGATGTCCTGCTGCTGGGCAACAACTGCATCATCACGAAAAATTGTCCTGGTACGTTCTTCATTCGAATCTGTGGGTGTCGGCGTCTGTTCTTAACGGGAAGTCACTTTCGCCATCTTCTTCTTCTTTACCTCGAACTTTGGTGGAGGTGTCACTAACACTGCGTTAACGCTAGGTTTACGGACGTTTATTCTGTTTTTAGAAAATTGATGTATCTTCGTTTAGAGGTTTGATAGATGATTTTACAAATGACGTTTGTACACCGGTGAACCTAGCGTTAATGAGGAGTATTTATTATTGAACACTTGGTGTTAACACTGGAACTATATACCAGATTCTGAATTCTTCCGTGAATATTGGAAAGTTTAATGAATTAGAAGTGAATTAGTATTAATAGTTGGTATTTGCGTTCTCAGTAGTAATTAATAGTTGATTCTACCGTTCCGAAAAATTGGCTTTATCCGGCCGACGTTATCAGCCGCGGTTATCTCGTCAAAATATTTTTCACAGATACTCGAAACGGCTAATAATATTGTCGATAAAAATTGCCATTGTGTTACTTGAACTTCCGATAGAATCGATAGATAAGATTATTGTTCTACGGAAAGAATGCGTTGAATTTATATAAATCTGCACATTTCCATTTCACTGCCATTCTAAAGAATTTTATTCGCCAGGTATAGCATAATGATTAGGAAGATATGGGTGAGTGAATAACAGCATGCACTACAGGATTGTCTTCTAAAATCTGACTAACATTACTGAAACGTAGTTCCGTAAATCTTCGATTGATCCGCTGGATGATTCATTGTAATATTCACATCCGATCTCAATCGAATCTTTGCGGAGAACAGTATATGTGATACATGCACACGAGTAGCATTTAATCACGCAAAACGAGACCATCCGAGAAGACTCGAGCGAAGAGCATTACTTGACTTGAAAAAATTTCAACGAAAATAACAATCAACTAATTACCAATATTAAATCGTATTCAAATAATCAATGTATATCCACTCCACGAAATTTCATTTAGTTACCCATCAATATTAAACGAATTATCAATTCGAATCTCGACATCGATCCCGGTATCAGCTATTTTATTGTTTCGAGTCGATGTTAACCCTTTGCGGACGAATGTCGGCATTTTTGAGATCAAACTTCCATGTTTGGAATACCCAGTTGCGAACGAATGATTTAACCGTTCGAACTGCAAGAAATCAGTACACAGTTCCCTTATTCTCCATGATTTAAGCATTCAGCGTTTAATTTAGCAGAATTCGCTAAAGGTTTCGTATACTTTCAACAATCCTCGTCCGCAAAGGGTCAATTATTAAACACAAACGTCGTAGTCGAATCGGCGACGAGAGTCCAGCGTGAAATTTCCAAAATCGATAGTCTCGTTATGTAAGTTGCACGAACATGTATTGGGGGAGTAGCTAGTAGACTGAGTTCGGCCATCACGTTGCGAATGTAGCAGCATGCGTGCAGATTGGGTCTATATTCAAAACTGGTTGTCGGGGTCCCGCGGCTTCTTGTACACTCGTATCTCATCCGGACTCAGTCGATTGGTAGCCGCGTAAGATAGGGACGGCTTAACCGTCGTTATCAGTCATATCTTTGTCCGCAGAAGGTCGCAATCAGGACCTGGACATGAGCAAGGTCGGCGTCAGGGTGATGGACGAGCTGGTGAAACCGTTGAACGAGGTGCAGATCGACGACACCGAATTCGCCTGTCTCAAGGCCATCGTCTTCTTTGACCCTAGTAAGTCCTCTTCATTCTCTACTGACACCTGACCCCGAAGATATAGATTTTGCACTCGACATTCGTCTTTTTACTAATCAAACACATCTTCTCGCACATGAAATTCACCCTTTTCGCATACATTCGATGTCTTTTCCAATAAAGTACACATGTATAAGCATTTGATTTGCAAAAGGGTGAATCTGATTTGCAACAGGATGAATTTGAGTTGCAAAAGAGCGAATACAGATTGCAAAACCTATAACGATAACAATACCGAGTGCTGACCTCTTTACGTGGGTCGTTTCATTAAAAAAACATCAATGACCTTGACATGACCTTCAGAAGAAATTTACCGTATAATAGACAGTGACACTGTGAATCTCTTGTTCAGACTACCTGTGCATACACCGTATATAATATCTCCTTATCCTTGATTGGTCCTAATTTGCTTGTTACTTCGATCGTTGGCTACCATATTCTTCATGGTACCCGTGTTAGCATCGTCGGTCGAGAATAAATCATTCGGTAGCTGATTATAGTAGTTCTCAGGCGGTCGGTTGGATTTGGCAAAATCAGTGGTCTTCTTGTTTTGCGAGGGAAACGCGCGGTTTAAAGTTTTCATGGAACGCTGCCAGATATACACTTAAATTACCTCCGCGACCAATCGAATTGGACGGAATGACCGCATTAATTTTCTTGACGTCTTATTGCCACTTGTTCTGGGAGCGCTAGCGCAACTTGACCCAGGCTTATCGCCGGAGGAACAATTAAATGGGCGGACCTGTAATTAGATGAAGCCTGGGCTAAGGGGGTACTCTCGTGTTCGGATAACGATAATCTTCGGCGGTCCTGCACCACGATCCAAAGGGGACGAAGAATTTGCGTGTCATCCGGCGATGATTTGCCGGGCACGCGAGAACGATTGTCTCAATGAGATTTAATTGATCATCGGCGCGGTCACCGCCACCGTTCTCCAATAAATTGCAGAAGACCATGGACTCCCTGTCGTGGGCTAGCTGCGTGATCCTCTTAAGCCGATGATTATCATCTTGAGAGTCATCAGTGAATTCAATAATGTCCTATCGAGTGGTCAGGAGGTGGGGATAATTGTGCTCTTCAGTTTACCTTCCGCTAAAGCCTTTGAATCTCTAAGAAACTCTCGTTGCTGTGTTATCTTGATCATGCCAATAATTTGATGTAAACATTCCAGGTGTATCATCAGTTTCCACCCTTAACTCCTGGGTTATATAAATTGTAGCATACAAGTCACTCATACAGCTATGTGCATACGTTCACCAAACAGAGATATAATGGGAGTATTGATGAGAATAAAGTGGAAGAATTAAAGAGGATGAAGGTAGACAATTAATGAAGTAGAGTAGGACAACTGGTGGTACTATGGTAGGGTAATTGTGACAGGTAGAATAGGATAATAGTGGATATATAATAGTTGGAACGAACATAGCGAAGGTAGAAGTTTGTAGCAATCAAATCTCCATGGTTCGACCAGGGATTTAGCTTTGTTCTCTTTCCACCTTCATCTCTGGGTATCCTATCAAGACTCCATTCCTTTGTTGCCACACATATACGTACACACAGAAGTTAAAATCATATGTATCGTGTCTGTCAATAGATGCAAAGGGCTTAAGTGAACCACAGCGAATCAAACAGCTACGCTACCAGATTCAGATCAACCTAGAGGACTATATCAGTGACAGACAGTACGACAGTCGTGGTCGGTTCGGGGAGATCCTTCTGACTTTGCCAGCTCTCCAGTCCATTTCCTGGCAGATGATAGAACAAATCCAGTTTGTACGACTGTTTGGGGTCGCGCACATCGACAACCTGCTGCAGGAGATGCTTCTAGGTGGCGCCACGGCTGAAGAAAATGGCACTGTAACACCAATTCCGATCTCAAACGCTCCAGGCAGTTATGTGAGCAGCAACGAAAGCCCTAGCAGTCCGCTGACGCCTGCCAATGCCCCTCCGTTAAGTCCCCAAGACCACATGCTAGCTGGGGGAAGTCCCGTGATGATACTAAGGGACCTGACACCTATTCAGAATCAAGAAGACGTGACCAGTGTCTCTGGATTCAGGATGTTCAAGCAGGAACCCAGTCTCGAAAGTGAATCAACGTTTTAAGGGATTCCCAGGGGAACCGAACGCAGTTGGCAGATTCTATAGAATGAAAGTGAATTGTTCTTGACTATTGCTGAAACTGACTTGACCATTGCACCGATTTGGAGTACTTATGACGGAGATTCGGAATTTGTTGGCAGAGAACGGGGACGCTGTAATATCCTTCTATGGCTCGAGCCGTCGTAATTTGTTTCTATGTTGAACATTTAAGTGTTCGCCAAAATATTGTGATAGATGGAATCACATTTGAAAATGTCTGGAAACTGTTGATAAAGATTTCATCGTCGTGGACAGTGAAGAATGCTTGAATATACTTGGTGCGATATTAGAACGTGTAATTCATCATTCACAAATGTCGAATAGATTTTACAATATTTTAAGGGCATTGAAAGGTTGCGATGCGCAACATATTCGAGAATATTTCGTAATGAAATTTCGAAGCACTAGAGTTTTGGAGCACCTGGCTGAACGTCGTAATTTTCAAGGGTTAAGTGGAGTTCTGTAGAAGCCCAAAACAAGGAGTTGATTTTCCGAACTCTTACAGAATGTTATCTTTTGAAACAGCTGTTGGTTGCCAAGGAAAGCCACTCTTTGATATAAGTGAATTGAATTTTTTGAAATGTTGTGATTTTGGAAAGAAATATTATTTCCACCTAAGTGACAATTTTGATATACAGGTTTTCCTTAATGTAACACTCATGTTCCACAGGGTTGAGAGTACAGATTACAATTTTTTTTTATAATTCACGATAAAATAGTTTTTATATTTCATAATAAAACTCGAAATAATCAGATAAATATTAATTGGCTGCTCCAGGACAATTCCCTTGATGTGCATCAGAGAGAAAGTTATTTTTCTTAATACAAAATAGTGGAGATAATTAAACGTTATAGTAGGGATAATCCACCAATGA